AAAACATAACTCTTTAATATTGTGTTGTGCCTTTTGTGTGGTCGGTGACTTATAATTTTCCGTAAAAAGTTATCAGTGAAAAAAAAAACAAAATCAGATGACAATCGGCGTTTCATCCATTTTTTTTTTCAGGATTCAAAAACTAGTTAGGTGCGTTGTTAGTATCTCAGTGAAGTATTTACTTATATTTGAATTGCACCTTGGACCACAAAACAGTTGCGTGAAGCAATCCTGACCTCAGCTGTATATCAGAAGGGCAAATAATCAAGGCCATAACCAAGGAACAACCGCGGTTTATCATGGTTCATCGTTTAAAATTGCATCATGACGAGCAAGTTGTCATACTGGCAGTGACAGTCATAAATGTGGACGACTAGTGCGTTGACAGGAAATTTTCATGGCGCGAGACAAAGCTAAAAAATGTATGTATTTGAGTTTACTCAGACAAACGTCCGCGCACTGAGACCGATTGTATATGTATGCGAGATGGAGATGGATGTATTAAAGTAGTTAAAGTGTGACCCACCAAAAAAGACCTATACAACAGATCACTCTACTTTGAATAAATAAGAACCTTACAGGTATTTTGCCCCAAAATTGATTTCAGCGCAGAAATGTGAACAAACGGGCGAGATACCTTTTCCTACAGACGACCTACTAGGCTTCATAAGACAGTCGTGTAGTTCTCACATTAGTAGTGAACAACTGATATTCTAAACTAGTAGTCAAACTGTAGAGTAATACGTTACATGTTTCCCCGTCTGATGTTAGTGATAGAACATATGAATATTCTGATGCAGCATCTGTGTTTATTTTTAGACCAGTGAACATTGCAAAAATATGAACTTCGAAATTCATTCATTTCTTTCTAAGTTATAAACAGTTTGAGGAAAAATACATCTTTTTTATTTAATACCTTGTATCTTAGGAATATTGGAATTTTGAGATTCATATTGATGCACTTACAATTTTTTGGCTTTTGACAATGATTAAATTTCAAAAATGCCACAAATTTTACCACATAAGATAAATTGAATATTCAAAGTGTCAGCATCGGTTCAAATTCAAATCAATTATGAAATATCATAGGTGTTAATCACAGCTCTGGGTATCATGCCAGATCTTTTAAAAATTTATGTAGACATAATATTTTATATATATATTACACATACTTTTCACTTTAATTCATGCTTTCCTAGTTGCCTGTAGTATAAAATGAAAATGTTCTTGTTACCCTATTTAATGAGCTTTAACTGTTCACTCTTTGTTCTAGTGGTTAGACATTAGGTTATATGTGTGCTCAGTTTTATTTTGTGTAAAGGTCAATTTATATTGGATATTTCAATAACAAGTCAATCATACTTTCATGCAGTCTGCAACACTTGACTTGACTGAGAATCATAGGCAGCATAGGATGTCAGTTCAACGTGGTCTGTTGATCAAACTCCGCTCAGTTAAAAAGCTTCAAATTTTAGATTTTAACTCTATTTTGGATGTCATTTGGAGAAAGAAATTAAACGGCCATATTTATTTTTTCGTATTTGACAAACACAGGGTGTCCGCAAAGTTGGGGTTTTCCTTTACAGTAGTGTAGATCTTGAAAACATAAGCAATTTTTCTTAGTACCATATACACCAATGTCTTAAGGGAACCGAGATAAAGGGCTCTGCAACATCAAAAATATCTGAATACCGTCCTGTAGCCGCGACATCCCCCAGTGGTGCTAGGGCACTAGCTCAACCCGACGACAGAACTGGGTCGGGGTCAGTGTGTCAGGTCAGTATGCAACCTTCAACCGACGGTTACGGTCACGCGTGTAGAGGTAGACGAGAATCCCTCAACAAGCACTAGAGACGTGGCTAGAGAAGTGCAAGTATCAAAAACTAAAGTGTGGCAAACGCTGCGTGAAGAGGGGCTGTATCCGTTTCACGTCCAACGTGTACAAGCCCTTCAACCTGACGATTTTCCAGCAAGAGTGCGGTTTTGTGAGTGGTTGTTGCATCAACAGGACAATAATCCGGACTTTTTGAGTGCATGTGGTGACAGACGAATCTACTTTCACGCGTAATGGGGTGAATAACTTTCGCAACACTCATGTTGGTCAGTAGAAAATCCGCACGCTGTCCGTTGGGCACATTTTCAACAAACATTTTCGGTGAATCTTTGGGCTGGCATGGTGAACGGTATGCTCGTTGGACCATTTATTCTCCCAAATCGATTGGACGGGATGCAATACCTAGACTTTTTACGCAACATTTTGCCTTCCTTGTTTACCTGCGTCTGCTCGGTAGCGCATCAGATGATTCATTTTCTGTTGGAGCGGTATGATTTCGGGCAGAGACGTACTTAGCCCTTCTCGTCAACTGGAGAGTGAGTACTTTTTCCTTTAATTTTTTTTACTTGGTCGCCCTCGTTTCACTACACATTACCTTTGTTATTTCAAGGGTAGTTGTTTCTGAAAAGGAAAACCCCAACTTTGCGGACACCATGTATTTCTGGGACAGAAAGTACGTCCAAAAATGAGAGAGATAATTGCTGTAAACTGCCTTCTTATAAGATACAGGGTTTTGAAGTTATAAAGCACCCGGCAGCACATGGGAAAAGTGGTTTCAGTTCATTTCGCTGAACTTTTTATATGTAATGCGTCTTGATATCCTGAACAGATATTTTAATAAACACATGCCTCGATACTATACGGTTCCTCAGATATAGACCGCCCAAGTCAGTATAATGGTGTATCGGTTCTGCTCGGATATCTCCTTTAAGTGGAAGAGTGCTTTCGGTTAATTTCGTTAAATTTTTATATGTTATGTGTCGTAGCGTCCTGAACAAATGCCTTTATGAGCACAGGCGCCAAACTCAACGGATCTCAAGCCGTCCAAGTCGGTATAATGGGGTAGCGGCCCTACACCAATATGTGCTTTAAGTGGAAAAGTGGTTTCGGTTAATTTCGCTGAATTTACTTTTTATATGTATGTGTCTTGGCGACCTGAACAAATGCCTCAATGGGCACAGGCCCCAAAACAGATGGCCGTCAAAGTTAGTATAATGGGGTGTCGGCCCTACTTGGCTCTCTGCCCTATGCGGAAGGGCGGCATCGGTTAATTATTCGCTGAATTTAAATTATATATTTTGAATGGATAAAGATATCGACGTGAAATTTGTGTGCGCTCGAA